AGGATCAAATTATCTAATTTAGATAGTGGAGGGATCTAATTAAATGTCTTAGATAGTGGAAGGATCAAATTACACGATCAAATTATCTAATTTAGATAGTGGGAGGGGGATCTAATTACATGTCTTAGATAGTGAAAGGATCAAATTACATGTTTTTGATAGATGAAGGATCAAATTATCTCATTGAGATAGTTAGAGGAACGAATTAAATGGTTTAGATAGTGGGAGGCCCAAATTATATGATTTAGATAGTGGGAGAATTGAATTACATGCTTTAGATAGTCCGAGTGTCAGTTTACACGCTTTGGATAGTCGAAGGATCGAATTACATGCTTTTGATAAATGGAGGATCAAATTATCTAATTTAGATAGTCGGAGGATCTAATTAATTGTCTCAGATAGTGGAGGCCTAAATCAGATGATTTTGATAGATGGAGGACCAAATTACATGCTTTAGATATTCGAAGGATCAAATTTAACGTCTTAGATAGTTGGAGGATTGAATTAAATGATTTTGATAGATGGAGGATCAAATTATCTAATTTAGATGGTCGGAGGATCTAATTAATTGTCTCGGATAGTGGAGGCCCAAATCAGATGATTTTGATAGATGGAGGACCAAATTACATGCTTCAGATAGTGGAAGGATCAAATTATCTGATCGAGATAGTTGAAGGATCGAATTAAATGATTTAGATAGTGGGTGGCCCAAATTACATGCTTTAGATAGTCCGATTACCAAATTACAGGTTTTGGATAGTCTGAGGATCAAATTACAGGATTTAGATAGTGGAAGGATCAAATTATACGATTTTGGTAGTCGAAGGATCCAATTATATATCTTTGATAGTGGAGGATCGAATTACATGTGTTTCATAGATGGAGGAACAAATTAGATGATTTAGATAGTTAGAGGATCACATTACATGTTTTGGAAGGTTAGAGGATTGAATTACATGATTTAGATAGTTGAAGGATCGAATTACATGTTGTTGATAGATGAAGGATCAAATTATATGATGTAGATTGTCCGGGGATCAAATTGTATATTTTTAAATAGTTGTAGGATCTAATTATATTTGTTCGTTAGTTGGAGGACCAATTAAGAACCCAAGTAGTCGGAGTACCCAATTACATGATTTTAATAGATGAAGGACACATTTCATTAGTATAATAGTTGGAGTACCAAATTGCATGATTCTAATAAATGAAGGATGAATATCCATGATTCTAGTAGTTGGAGCACCACAATTGCATGAAATTAATAGTTGAGGGATCGAATTGAAGTACTCAAATAGATGAAGGGACGAAATGCATTATTAAATATTAAAAATTACATCCTCCAACTATTTTAATCAATAGTTTCATTCTTCAAAGTGAGGCAAATGAGTATACAGAAAGAAAGCGTAAGAAGAATCCATCAATCTACACATACTGTAAGAAGGTTATGAGTTTAATTCTTTTTAATTTATTTAAGCATGATTTTCATATGGATTCTACTGCCACCTACCTAGCGGTACTATCTAGTTCCGTTGATTCTGGAAAGATCCGTACATGGTTTGTATATAGAAATGAAAATGTATGAAGAATTGGTTAAAAAATAAAGTTTTATTCAAAAAAGAAAGTTTAAGAGTATAAAGAACTCTTAAACTTATTTAATTACATGAAAAGATCCAAAATGGATCTACTGTCTTTGATAATTTAGTCCCTAACT